GGAGCAAATTTAAATCTGATTAGCATACGAATCCTTTCGCCGCTTACTTCATTTACTATTTTTTTTTCAGGTAAATAGAGAAGAATGTAGTGGGATGTGTTTCTTTCTTTCTTATTTTCTTTTATTATTATTATAATTATTATTATTATCATTATTATTATTTATCAGTACATGTATGTAATGTGTGTGTGTGTGTGTGCGATGTATATAATTATGATTAGTTTTCTTTTTTTGTATTTTTCCAAAGTGTTCATAAGCGTCAGTATGTAAAAAAATTGTAATACATAACAAAAAAAATAGCAAAATAAAATTTATTAAAATACAAAACAAACAAACAAACAAACAAAAAACAATTTGGCACGGGTTCAAATCCCGGCGTCGACGCCGTATGTGAGTTAAATTTGTTGTTGTGGTTCTCTCCTTTGCTCCGAACAGTTTTTCTCCGGGTACTCCGGTTTTCCCCTCTCCTTAAAAAACCAATATTTCTAAATTCCAATTCGACCAGGAATCAGGTAAACGAAGAACCACTATATGGATGTGCTACTTCCAAATCGTTATTTATTTATTTATATTCATTATTTAAATTTTCCACACAGTCAAGATCATGACGTATTATAATCTTCATTAAAATTTCGTGGGTGGATTTAACCGCGATAAAACAAGACAAGACATAGTAGACATAGTGCATCAACCATTGCTTTTTTCTCTTCTCCCCCTTTTATACTCCTCGCTTGTTCTATTTTACCTTTCCTTATCCTTTCCTAACGTGATTTTAAAGCTTATCGGGCGCAAAAAACCTGCCTTTCGACCCTGGCTGTAAATTTCGCTAGTTCGTTTTCAAACAAAAAAATCGGCTAAATATGTATTGGGTATGACGGAATTGTTTTTCTTTCTGGCCTAGTCAATCTCTAGTCAAATTTTTGAAAATAAAACAAACAAACAAAAATTAAAAAAAAAAAACAACAACTACAAAAAAAACGAAAAAGCTGCGGTCATTCATAGACTCGTTAAATTCCTACACGACAAATATGCGTACCTGAAGGAAGGAACGTCTTACAATTCTAGCTGGATACATGAAAATGTGGCTAACGAAAATACAGCCATTTGAGCGAAGCACGAAAAAAGTGGTCTCTTAACTGAAAGAAGGCAAAAACACGAAAAATCTGAAATCTATCAGCCCCAATTTAGCTGGTTCTTCCCACATTCTGACTTAGTAATAGTCATGTTCGCGCTGCAAAATATCATTTTAAATATGAACGAAGGGCCAAGGATCTAGAGCCCGATCACAAAAGGAGAAGGAACGAATTCGAACTCTTACTTTTTTGGAGCTTAAACAACAAAAGTAGGATGGATTATTTTTGTCAATTCTGCGACTTAACGCTGTGGGTAAGACGATTTTCTATACTTGTATTATTTCAAAAATTATTGGCCATGCAAAAAAAGATGCCCTTGATTATCAGTTCAATTACGTACACCTGCTTTTATTATGTCACTTAATGAACAACCCTTTTGCGGGGTGAACTTATAGTGATCAGAATTTGCACAAGGTTGCGTCGGATATGCTTCATTTTCCAAGAATAAATGAGCGGATTGAGACACGAATTAAGGAACATTAGCGTCGTCGCACAAATTGATGTATTGTATATTAGCTTGCTTGGTTCTAAAATAATAACAATGATATTAAGACATGTCTTTGGCAAATAGCAAACCAAAAACACGAGATAGACAAAGAAAGTTCCAAAAGCAGATTTTTTCTGCCTCGCAATATTCAGATTGGAGAAACTTGTAATAGTGTAATAGTTTCCAAATTTCTCGTTTTTATGTTTTCTGATCAGTTGTTACTCTTGGATGATTTCCGTTATAAATCGTTAAAATCATGAACGATCGATAAAATCAATTGCACAAGGCAATTTAGTTTATCGATTTTTACCGATTTCCGTTATCAATCGATAAAAATCGCTCTGATTGCTACCGATTTTCATCTATTGACTACTCTGAGTATTGATTCAAAAAAGAAGGTCTCTACTAGGTTTTTCGGGATCCTGGATGTCCCTTATTTGAAGTTTGGGATTCGGGATTTTAAATAAAAATCGGAACGAGATTCGGGATTGATAGTATGTATACAAGGGAGGTGGGATGCCAAAAATAACCCTCAGGACTACGGGATTGCACGAAATGTTGGGTGGGGATTGCGGGATTGAAGAACCCCACTAAGTACCCTCAAGAAAAGCAACTAGGATTTTGGCTTCATCTCAGTAACCGTTAGATTTTGTATCAATCTATCTCAATGAGCTGTGTCAGTCACACAGGGGGAGCCAAATCCTAACCATAAGGAACTGGTCACCAGTCAGAGGATGAAATATAAAAGCTCAATAGTTTAAAAGTACATCTGTATAATGAAGGCAAGCAAATGCAAAAATACGAAGGGAGATACACATGGAAACTTTATCAGGACTAAGTTACATAGAGCGACAACACAACGAAAAAAATCAATAAAAAAACAACAACAATAAACAAACACACCTTCTGTAATTAACAGCTAAACTAGTTAATATAATTTTAGTGGAAGACAGATCCTACTCGACGAGCCATTGAATTGATCCTGTATGGCCCATTCAATATTAGCGCAACGCTCGACGGGTGCAACAATAGGGACCTTAAGCAAAGAGAACGTCGACGTCCCGGGCGTCAAAAATGGCTACCGGAAGTTGATATTTTCTTTCTTTCAGTGCTCTGACTCTACAAATTCGTACAGCGGGAGATAAAACAAAAGCATTCAGATTCGTTGTGTAAGACAACAGTGTTCTATGGAGCGATACATGGAACTTCCGGTTGCTATTAATGACGTCCTGGACGTCAGCGTTCTCGTTACTTAAGCTCGCTTATATTTAAGTTTCAGTTCGTCTTCTCCCAGGATACTGGTCACACGTGTCTTGTGTGGTATCACTCAAACACAAGGCGTGGTCCATCACGTGGAAAATGTACTGCTGTTCCACCACACCATGAAATAAATAGGCTCCAGGACCGTCTGCGTATATACCTGTAATACGAAGGAATTTTGGATTAACACTGAATGTTTTCTAGCGACTTTCAAAAGAATAAAATTTTAAATGGTATATAAACGCGAAAGATATCACGTTACATCAGGTTAGACCAGAAGGCGTTCTGGTAGAAGGCAAGAGAATATTTTTCAGTTGTTTCAGTCTTCTTCAGTTTTGAAGTGACCCATCGACCAAATATTGGTTTACTGTTTCTTTTTAAGGGGCTATTTTTTTAAGGGTGAGTAAACAGGGAGCAAGGGTGGCGCAGTGGTGAGAGCCTCCCACCATTGAATGGAACTTGCTCTGGCCTAAAGATTAACCACTAATAGTCAGAGCTTTTGCTGCTAAGCAACCTTGCCTGTACCGTACAAGAAACCGATCAGTTGAAATATTAGGAGTACATTTTACCTATGACATTCGCCCAAAACAAAAGTTAAACGTCAATGAATTAATCAGCTCCATTCAACTTCAGCTACGAATCTGGAAGTGGAGGGATTTTACTCTCATAGGGAGAAACCTTTGTTATCCCTATCTTTTTATATCGCACGAGCTTGATATTCTCTTGGATAAAGAATTTGTGGAAGAAGCAAACAAAATTATATTTGATTTTATCTGGGAAGGAAAAGATAAAGTTAAATGCTCTCCACTTATTAGTGCATCGAAGATGATATTTGTGAATCATATTTTACTACTGGCAAAACAATACCTATACTCTTGTAGACAGAACAAATATGCTCCCTTAGAGTTCTTAATTCCAAAATTAATACTGTCTTCTTAATCGAGACAATGATCGCTGAGTCAAACAATACGTTGGAGACACAATATGAAGTGGAGCAAATTTAAATCTGATTAGCATACGAATCCTTTCGCCGCTTACTTCATTTACTATTTTTTTTTCAGGTAAATAGAGAAGAATGTAGTGGGATGTGTTTCTTTCTTTCTTATTTTCTTTTATTATTATTATAATTATTATTATTATCATTATTATTATTTATCAGTACATGTATGTAATGTGTGTGTGTGTGTGTGCGATGTATATAATTATGATTAGTTTTCTTTTTTTGTATTTTTCCAAAGTGTTCATAAGCGTCAGTATGTAAAAAAATTGTAATACATAACAAAAAAAATAGCAAAATAAAATTTATTAAAATACAAAACAAACAAACAAACAAACAAAAAACAATTTGGCACGGGTTCAAATCCCGGCGTCGACGCCGTATGTGAGTTAAATTTGTTGTTGTGGTTCTCTCCTTTGCTCCGAACAGTTTTTCTCCGGGTACTCCGGTTTTCCCCTCTCCTTAAAAAACCAATATTTCTAAATTCCAATTCGACCAGGAATCAGGTAAACGAAGAACCACTATATGGATGTGCTACTTCCAAATCGTTATTTATTTATTTATATTCATTATTTAAATTTTCCACACAGTCAAGATCATGACGTATTATAATCTTCATTAAAATTTCGTGGGTGGATTTAACCGCGATAAAACAAGACAAGACATAGTAGACATAGTGCATCAACCATTGCTTTTTTCTCTTCTCCCCCTTTTATACTCCTCGCTTGTTCTATTTTACCTTTCCTTATCCTTTCCTAGCGTGATTTTAAAGCTTATCGGGCGCAAAAAACCTGCCTTTCGACCCTGGCTGTAAATTTCGCTAGTTCTTTTTCAAACAAAAAAATCGGCTAAATATGTATTGGGTATGACGGAATTGTTTTTCTTTCTGGCCTAGTCAATCTCTAGTCAAATTTTTGAAAATAAAACAAACAAACAAAAATTAAAAAAAAAAAACAACAACTACAAAAAAAACGAAAAAGCTGCGGTCATTCATAGACTCGTTAAATTCCTACACGACAAATATGCGTACCTGAAGGAAGGAACGTCTTACAATTCTAGCTGGATACATGAAAATGTGGCTAACGAAAATACAGCCATTTGAGCGAAGCACGAAAAAAGTGGTCTCTTAACTGAAAGAAGGCAAAAACACGAAAAATCTGAAATCTATCAGCCCCAATTTAGCTGGTTCTTCCCACATTCTGACTTAGTAATAGTCATGTTCGCGCTGCAAAATATCATTTTAAATATGAACGAAGGGCCAAGGATCTAGAGCCCGATCACAAAAGGAGAAGGAACGAATTCGAACTCTTACTTTTTTGGAGCTTAAACAACAAAAGTAGGATGGATTATTTTTGTCAATTCTGCGACTTAACGCTGTGGGTAAGACGATTTTCTATACTTGTATTATTTCAAAAATTATTGGCCATGCAAAAAAAGATGCCCTTGATTATCAGTTCAATTACGTACACCTGCTTTTATTATGTCACTTAATGAACAACCCTTTTGCGGGGTGAACTTATAGTGATCAGAATTTGCACAAGGTTGCGTCGGATATGCTTCATTTTCCAAGAATAAATGAGCGGATTGAGACACGAATTAAGGAACATTAGCGTCGTCGCACAAATTGATGTATTGTATATTAGCTTGCTTGGTTCTAAAATAATAACAATGATATTAAGACATGTCTTTGGCAAATAGCAAACCAAAAACACGAGATAGACAAAGAAAGTTCCAAAAGCAGATTTTTTCTGCCTCGCAATATTCAGTATATCTTGTGCTGCTACACCTTGAATTGTAAGACGCTGAACTGCTGCATACAACTTGTAATAAAAAATTGCTGTACATAAGTAACATAGTACCTCGATACTCGCAAATATAATGTAGCGGCGATTTTCTGGGGCCCATCTGAAACCAGATATCGAAAAAGACGCACTGAAAATCCAAATTGAGATCGTTCCTATAAAAACGCGCTTCGATGTTACCAGTTCCTGATATCGAAGATGGAGATAAATGGCAAGAAATCTATCCGCACTTATAGCCACAACACTAAAGAACGAAGCAGAAGAAAGAAAATTGACCATGATAAGAAATGCGGTAAGCATTGTGGTGTAAACTTTGCTACTTGTGTCTTGGTGCATCTCCTTGACTAGCAGAACAATGTGCAAAGGTTCTACCAGCAGCCCAACCAAGAGATCAGAAATTGTTAAACTAAACAGCAATGTTTTCAAAGTCTTCGGCAACGATGGAGTTTTCCTCAGTACGTGTATAGTTACAATGTTCAGCAGGATGGTATTGTAAGATAAGAAGGCATTCAATACGCAGTTTACAACGAACGATGAGAAGTAGACCGCCGGTTCCTCTGTCATGCTGAAAAATTGTAAGTATATCTTAATTTAAAAAGAGTGTTGTTTCGACGTTGTTGGCGCTGAAAAATGATAGTCCTCGCTATACTTAAACTTAATCGAACGGTTTTTCTCCGGGTACTCCGGTTTTCCCCTCTCCTCAAACACCAACATCTCTATATTCCAATTCGACCAGGAATCAGATAGACGAAGAACCACTATATGGATGTCCTACTTCCAAATCGTTATTTATTTATTTATTTATATTCATTATTTAAATTTTCCACACAGTCAAGATCATGACGTATTATAATCTTCATTAGAATTTCGTGGGTGGATTTTTAAACAGCGATAAAACAAGACAAGACATAGTGTAAATTGGCCCGCCAGCACACACAGATGAGTCACCTTTTCTTACTCTCTCTCTCTCTGTTTTGCTTGTTTGTCTATTTTTGTTCTTCAGTGTAAACATGAACATGTAATGAGAAATCTTTACAGCCTTTTCATTTAGAAAAATTCTTACAATGAGCATTTACATTACACCGGCACGTTCTTTGCCAATAAAAATTCGCCTTCGACATCTGTTATTAAAGTTTACTGAACAACTACTCGACGGGCGCGCACTAGTTGTGAATTGATTATAGCCAACACGCACAGGTGAAGTTGTTCTTTTATTAAAAAAAAATAACGACAGGTCACTTTAATATTCTAAAAGCAGAATTTAAACACGTTTACAGGTTTAAAGTAGCAAGTAAACGTTGAAAGTTTGTTTTGAATTTGATACAATTCAAGTTAGCTAAACTAAGTCGAGGAGACCAGAGACGTAATTTGCATGTAATTTACCAAGACGTTATTTGCATGGCTATTGTGTAACTAATTCCTATTTGGTTTTTGTCATTTATGTGACTTTATGTTTCGAGTCCTTACTCTTTCCTTTGACAACTTCATAAAAAAAGCCAATATAAAAACTAAGAGTGCAACAATTGCTTTTTTCTCTTCTCCCCCTTTTATACTCCTCGCTTATTCTATTTTACCTTTCCTTATCCTTTGCTAGCGTGATGATTTTTGAACTTATCGGGCGCAAAAAACCTGCCTTTCGACCCTGCAAATTTCGCTAGTTCGTTTTCCGAAAAAAAAAAAGATCGGCTAAATATGTATTGGGGTATGACGGAATTGTTTTTCTTGCTGGCCTAGTCGATTAGTCAAATTTTTGAAAGTAAAACAAACAAACAAACAAAAGTTAAAAAACAACAGCTACAAAAAAAAAACGAAAAAGCTGCGGTCATTAATAGACTGGTTAAATTAGTACAAGACGAATATGCGTACCTAAAGGAACGAACGTCTTACAATGCTAGCTGGATACATGAAAATGTGGCTAACGAAAATACAGCCGTTTGAGCGAAACACGAGAACGTGGTCTCTTAACTGAAAGAAGGCAAAAACACGAGAAACCTGAAATTAGCAGCCCAAAATTTAGCTGGTCCCTCCAACATTCTGACTTAGGGCCTCTTCATATGAGCCCGGTTGACCGGGCTGGCTCGGTTACGGGGATAAATTTTGCTTTGGGTTCATATGAGAATTTCAGCCCGGTTTCCGAGATGAGAAAAGGTCAAAGATCCTGGGCACGAGTTCTGGAGCCATATTTAGGAAACAAAGCAAACATAGCGAAACACAAAAATTTTAACTTTTGGGCCTATCTTAGCATCGGTAATTCTTAAAGCTGTATCACTGCAGTTAAATGGGATGCTTACGATGTGGAAAATACAGCAGGCAATGCAAGACGATGCCATCCGGACCGCCAGAATTCATCCCGCCGTTCATCCCGGTAACCGGGATGAAGTGTTCATATGGCAAAATTTCCAGCCCGCTTACCGAGATCTCGG